GGAAGGCGGGGGAGAACTAGCGTGATCCCCGCCCCGCGACCGCAGCTGGTGCGCATGCCCAGGCCGAAGCCCCGCGGAAGAAGTGAGGTGAGCCGCTCACCTCCTGAACTGGGACGGGCGAGAAAGGGGGCGCCGAGGCTCAGGTCTCGGGGAGTGACCAATTCCGAGAGTGGGGTGCAGAGGGAGAAGGCTCAGGATGCACATCGTTCCGTTGAACACTGAGTTAGGAAGCATCCTACAGGGGGTCACTTCAATCCACCCGGAACACGACGGCAAGTAAGTTTTGTGTGACGAGGTAGTGAGAAATCACAGGCGGTGGGAGATTGCTTGAACAGAATTCCCAGCACGATTGATCATGCCTTTGCCATCTTTAGGCCATACCCCACAATCTTCCAATCTTTATGCCATACCCTGACACCCCTGTCGCAGCTGTCAGGGTAAAGAGTGTAGCTAGGCAAGTGTCAGACCAATTGATGAGAAAGTGATCGAGGAAGAAATAAATTCATTCTGATTTTCTTAAAGCAATACATCACATCTAGAGAGACAAGAGAAAATACAATCAAGAAGATGATGTCCGTTGTGGTAGACAGAGTAATGGCCCTCTAAAATGTCCACATCTTAATTTCCAAAACCTGTGACTGTCTTACCTACAGGGCGAAAGGGACTTTTTAGTTAAGGCTCTTGAGATGGGGAGAGTATCATGGATTATTCGGGTGTATATATTATAATCACAAAGGTACTTACAGGTGGGAAGCAGGAAGGTCAGAGTAAAAGCCAAGCCATGAGCCAAGCCATGTGACCATCTTCATAATCTGGAGTAGTCATGGAAAAGGCTCTGCCAGCCAATCTGAGACTTCTGAACTCCAGAACTATGACATCATACATTTGTATTGTTTTAAGTCGCTTAATTTGTGGTCATTTGCTACGGCAGCAATAGTAAACTAATGTTAATTAATCTAAAAATGTAGACATCAGGAATACTTTTATAGACAAATAAGAACTACCAAAATTAGCTCAAGATGAAACTTTTTAGCAACTTTAATAGAACTATAACATTAAAGGAATCAAATCATTCATCAGGATCTACCCACATGAAAGCACTTGGCCTTAGCAAATACTAAGGAATAAATATATATTTACACAAAATGTTTAAAAGTTACCTGATTCACTTTATGAAGTCAGAATAACCTTAAGATCAGACAAAGACAGAAAAAAAAGCTAATAGCACATATTCATTTATAATTCAATTATAATTTGTTCATTATATATACTAATTCTTTATCTCAATTTATCAATTCATTAAAGAAATGTTCTGCTCAAGTTACTTAGGGAAGAACAGTGAACAAAATAAAGTTCTGCTCTTGCTGAACTTATATTCTGTTGTATATTCACAAAAACAAAGGAGGCTTACATGCGTCAACAAGACTGAATTTCAGAAACCTACGTGTAAGGGAAAAAAGTAAAATTCAATGTCTTAACTATACTATACTCCCAATTGTACAACTCTTAGCATGTACATAAAACAATATGGTTATAAAATATATGAATGAAAAAGTACATGTCAACCTCAGAATATTTGTCACTTCAGGAAATAGTAGCATGGTAATGAGATGGGAGGAAACTTCTACTCGAACTGTAGTATTGTTTCTCTAAAAAGAATTTTGAAGAGGGAAATCTGGGTTAATTATGGAAGAGGAAAAATAAGTTGCCAAAATTAACTCAGTGATATTCCCTTCCCTCTCATCTCATTAGTTTGGTGTTTGGGTTTTGCACATAAGCTATTTTTCTATCCTTTTTACTCTAGACCTCATATATGTGTCACTATTTCCACCCCGACCAAAAAGGAATCAAAGTTAAACAGGGGAAAATCCCTTTACTCCTTTCCTAGGCATTCCACCATAATTAACAGACTTGGCATCACTTTCAAAGTGTGAGTTGCAGAACTCACTCAGCTTGGAGAGTGACTGAAAATTCCTGGAAGAGGTGAGAGAGGAGGTGGTTAGAGAAAGACTAGGCAGGCAGAGAGGGTGGATTTCCCAGTAACTTTGGGCCGGCCTCTTGGGCTGATAGACTCAGGTTGGTAAACAAGCTCCCTTAAAGCCTCTCAAGCTAATACTCACTACTGGGATAGAAAAACAACCAATCTGCTCGATGCCAAGTGCTGACCAATCAGCTCACCATTAGGCCCCTACCTCTTGCCAATTGGTCTTTAGTACTGACAAATCAGCACAGCTAGTGCCAACCAATCAGCTCACAGCTAGTGCTAGCCCATAGCCTCTGTCTTAGGGATCTATAAGCACCAGGTTTCAGCTCCAAATCGGCAACCCTCTTGGATCCTCTCCCACTGTGGAAATCTTTCCGTCCTCTCATTCAATCCTGCTTTCGTATTTTCTGACTATGCAGAGACAAGAACCCCAATCTGAAGAGCTGCAGGCGATTGTTGGAACCAAAGAGCCATGCACCCCCACCCCCAGGCCGACTTAACAGCTGGCTGAACCGCGAGAATTGCTGCAAGATGGCGAGACTCCGAAGCTGAGACACTTCTAGGGGATACAACACTCTCAGAGCTTGGCTTGCCAGCCCCTTAGAGCCAACACTTCTGGCACTAAGCTTGCCAGCCCTTGGAGCTGACCGTCTCTGGGGCTCGACTGGCTAAACCATTGAGCTGACTCTCGAAGCCCAGGCTGACCTGAAAAATCTGTATTAGAGGGGCTGCCTGTGTTTGTCTGAGAGGATACCTCCTTATTCATAAGTATTCTTCTCCTTGACCTGAACAATGATGACTTCCTACTTGGATGGCGGCCAGTTTGGATCCTGAAGTAAAGATTTATTCTAACCACAAATAAAATTACAGAGAGCGACAGCCACTCTGTGGGAACCTGGGACAATGTCAACTATTTATCTCATTGGAAACACAATTTTCTCTTCTGTAAAACGAGGATATTTATGTCTACTCTCAGCTCTGCCCACCCAAATTGTTATGTGGATTAGGTAGTTGTGAAAATACTTCATAGAGGGTAAAGTATTTATTATTGTTGCTTTTGGTAGCTCAACTATTTGTTTTTTTGTTTGTTTGTTTTTTAGCAAAATGTAAATGTCATCAAGATCATAGAAGCCTTAAAGGAGATTGTGCTTGGTAAATACAAGTCTAAAGTAATAGTTTATTTAATTTAAAAATGTAGAATGAATTAGCTGCAAAAATAAAAACAAGTCTTTCAAATCTTTTCCCAAAGTTTAGCTCAGCTGTAAATATAATATTTTTTTAATAGAAATAGTCAACTTATCTATTTCTGTAGGTTCTACCTTAGAAATATAGATCAAAAAAGAAGTTAGCTAATCATTGCCTGGTTTACATCCCAGGCCATTTATCTGTACAAAAGGAACTGATTGGAACTTCGATTTTTCTGCATCAGCATTCCACAAGATTTTTAATACATAATATTGATTTTCTTATACAAAAAAGAACATGTAAATTACTACCTGTCTTGGCATTTTTATAAAATTTATTACACTCCATTTAGTGTTTGGTGTGTCGAAATAAGACACATTACAGAATAAGAGAAATGACTATATTTCAAGTTTTAAGATACATCGTTGAACAGAAGAGTATTTTCCAGTACACCATTCACTTCCCAAATAATTTTTCTTTCCTTTTCGCTTCAGAATTCAAAAGGACCCTTTAAAAAAAATTGTATTAGGGGGACTCAAAAAAACCAGAATTATCTTTTGGAGGGCAGGTGTCTTGTAATATAGGCATCACCGGTTGGGTAAGTGTTCTAGGAACCCATTGGCATCAGTATACCAGTGAGTGCTGTTGTGAAAGGCTGCAATAGACTTCAATGAATTTTTTAGGAGATTCTATCAACACATTTGCCCATTTCCTGATGGGTGATATATAAGCACACCTGCCCACACCATGCTGAGTGTTCAGCTGTTTTTGACCAAAATGGCATGACCCCTGTGCCCCATTGCCCCTATTCACCGGATCTTGCCCTGAGTGACTTTTTTTAGTTTACCTGGATGAAAAAAAAGTCCTCAAGGGGAAATGTTTTGCCAATATGGAAGAGGTGAAACAAAAAATGGCAGAAGCACAAAAATGCATCAAAATTGACAAGTTCAAAAACTGTTTTGAGCAATGGAAAAAGCATCTAGATATATGTATTGCATCAAACAGAGAGTACTTTGAAGATGACTGAAGTCTAAACATGTAAGAATAAATACACAATTTTTTGTAAATCAATTCTGGGTTTTTTTGGGAGTCCTCCCTTGGTACATGTCACCAATAGATTACTATTTTCTGACATTCAAAATATCTCTTTTCCAAACAGTTTGTGATTGCAAACTCTCTGTCCCTAAATTACTACTTTTGAATGTCTTCATTGACTACCTGCTTCACCCCTCTCTTTGGCCATATAAAGACACCTAATTAGAATTAATGGGGG